GACCAAGGAACCGGGGGACGATCTGCCAGATGAGATGTTGCCCCACATGGGGGAAATTCTGTGTTCAAAATTCATTGGAAAAGTCAAACCCTTAATTAATGGTGTATAGCTGGTCTAACACTGCTGCAGTACGGTTACAAGATAATAACGCATAGAATATTTGCAGTCTTAATTTTATAAGACTTGATTTGTGAATTTTAAAAATTTTATGACTAGCTCCAAAAGTAATGGCAACTCAAAATAAAGTTTTGATTTTCTATTACTTCTGATATCTGAATTTTTACAGACATTTTCCAATTTCACTTGGTGATCATAAGAACAAGAAGCTTAACCACTTTTTAAAATTAAATTCAGATTCTTAAATAATGGAACAGCTTTGGAAATCACATTTTCAGCCTGTTCGGGTTGTCTGCTGTTGAGAAAGAGGGGTGAGGATCAGGGGAGTGTGGCACATACCCGTGGTGTGCCCCTTCACCTCCTCCCGGCTTTCAGCTCAGTGACTGGAGCCCCCCACCTCTCGCTCAACACGTGTGGGATGCTCAGAAATGGGTAAGTTAACAAATCCCCCAGAGCCAGACATTAGAGCCGATTGAGAAACCATGCAAAGGTTTCACTGTTGCTTCTTGATCAGTGCTCCAGCAACCGACCTGGCCGAGGGGTTCGATTCTGACAGTGCCCAGAAACTGATGGAACGGGAAAAACCGGCACCCGGGGCATGTGCAGAACAGCCCTCCCTTGGGTCACCCTCCCGGCAGCCCACGGTTCATGGACCTCCTCAGCTGGAGGCTGTGTTTGGTTTTGTTGCCACTGCTTGAACATCAGGAGATAAGGAGGTTATTTAGAAGCTGATGCTATGCCACTTGGCAGAGCAGTTTCATTTGCAGAACTTCCTACTCATTCCACCAACTCACGCTTTACAGGCTTTTTAGCATCCGAGTGATTCCTCCAGAAGAAGTTTTGCCTCAGAAACAATGATTACCTTTCATGCCTTAAGCAAAGCACAGACTTGCTATACTACATGAGGAGAAGAGGGAGAAGACACTGTCATCCTCCAGCACCAGATTCCTCATGGACTGGCACAGTTAAGCTAGGACTCAGCACACAGAGCTCATCCCTCACCACTGGCCCTCCCGGGCTGGTGAGCAACCCTACTCGCCTCTGATCCTGGCTGGGAAGAGGAACGGAAAAATAGGGGTAATTTATAGTCATCTGCAGCCAGAGAATACCTAAATTAAAAGATATAAGGAATAAAAATCCAGATTCAGGGCACACCTTCTTAACAAGTCCACATGCTGCCTTATCCATCAGCTGGTTCTTGCTTGCAAGAGCAAACGACCAACAGGCCACGAACACGCTGCTCTGTAAGGAAACCATCTAACACTGGGTACGGCATGAGCTCAGCAAGCACGTAAAACCAACCGGAGCCGTGACAGGGCAAACGAAAGGCAGTTAGGACGCTTGTAAAGACAGAGGAACTCAGCTCTTGCAAGTTGTCCCAGACTTTTCCTGCCCGATTCCTCACTTCCCTTCTCCCTAAAGGGATGCTTCCCTCCCTGAGCACCATAAACCCACAGTACAGCCTCCTTCACCAAAAAGGAGAGTTCTTGTAAAGTGACAGCACTTCATCCCACATCGCAGCCAAGCTGGAAACAAGGACCTGACACCCTCCCCTCCCAATTCAGTGTTCAGCGTACGCACACAAGCCAATACTTGACAAAGACCTCCAAACAATTTTGCAACAGTGAAAAAACACTGCTCCCTCCAAAAGACGCAACAGAGCAATTTGCTCAAATGCTAGGCAAGCCGAGAACAAGAACCTGGGCATCTATTCCCGTGTTCTCAGCAACAGACTCCACTGTCAACGTCATTACCAGTAAGTCCGGTCGTGTGGGAATCCAAATAGCTGTTCAAACATAAAGATACGGCAAAGGGACATCAGATGCTTTTCTGCAGGGCAAAACAATCGCCCTGAGCCTGCTCCTTGTGCTGACAAAACAGCGGTATCCGCGGGGAGCTCATGGCCGTGAGATGGGCTGCAGAGAGAGGGGGAAGGCAGAGCTGCTCTCCCAGGCCAGCCCTCTCCATGGCATTTGGAAACGCCGACGCCTCGGCAGCTGCCAGCCTGGAGTGGGCAGCGGGTCCTGGGCTGCGGAGCTGGCAGGGCAGCCTGCACCTTCCAGCTCTTCGCACCCAGCTGGGTGCCTGCCCGGGGCCACTTGCCCTGTGAAATGCAATAGCAGCAGGGAAAGAACAGCCTCAAAAATCCTCACCTTCTAGTGACTAGGCAGGAGAGGGATGGGAGAGGCACAAACAGCGAGATTCACCCATCTCACACCAACGGTGAGGTGGAACAGCGTGTTCTTTGGTAGGACACGGACAGTTTACTATTCCAGTCACTGCTGGTTTATGGAGGGTGTCTGACAACTAATAAAAGGGGAAAGTGTCTCTCTCGGGTACTTGACTTCGGCTCTTCACCAGCTTGGCTCTCTCCCCGAAATGGACCGATTGCAGATAAGAGTTTGTGTTAAAGGGGTTTTTTTTCTTGCTGCAGCAGCAGTGCAGCTGCTGGAAGACTCAGCTGAGCACTGCACGGGACCAGGCACAGATCTGGGCACAGAGCTCTCCAGGGGAAAGGCTTCACAAATCACAGCCAAATGAGACACCTGAGAAGTCCCAACTCGATGCAGCAGCAAATTTCCAATTAATTTTGGGATTTTTTTTTTTAATAGACTTTTCATACTCTGAAACAAAAGAGTAAACGTCTAACTGGAAACCTTGCCAAGAGAAAAAAAAAATAATTCCAGAAAACACATTTTACTTCCCTGCTCTGAAATTTTTTTAGGTGCCAAAATCAGCAAAACCCAAAACCTGTTTATAAAGCACCTCTGCTCTCCTCACCTCCCCAGACTGCTGTTTTGGCAGTAAAACATCACCAAAGTCCAGCTGAGAACAGCAAAGGAATCTAATCTCATTCAAAAAATATACCGCTGGTAAAATCTAAGCCTGTATCAACACCTTACACGTGTCCTACAAAACACAGAGATGTTGATGTGACAAAACCAGACACGGGACTGCCCAGGAGAGGGGCAGCTTTGGCAGTCGTGGCAGCTAAGCACAGGCACCCAGGGGAGAACACATCAGGCAAACGACTCCCAGAAGGAGGACCACAACTGCAGCAACACTGGGACAAGAAGTGCCAGCTGCCCAACAGAGAGAGGCTGCCAGGGAAAAAACAGCAGCCAAAAAGCAAAGACAGCAGAAAGATTTGTGGATCAGGCTAAAAAGTGATTACAGCAGCCTGAACCAAGTTAAGGAAGAAGAGAGATAAACATGGACAACGGCAAAAGAATTACTCCCCCAAGGCATCTGGTGGTAAAAAGGAGAAAACTGCAGAAGTAGATACAGGTAAGGGGAAGAAAGGCGTTTTTTCCCCTCCAAAACACAAGTTTGCACGTCAGGTTTTATCCAGCAGTCTCACACAGCTGGCATTCCAATTTGGGGACCTCTTTGTATTCTGTCCAGTTTTCTCGTAAGAAAGCGTACTTAGGCTAGACAAGTTGTTTTACAAAGATCTATAAACCAAGCCTTAATAAATTTTACAAGAAAGCAACACTTTCATTAAATTTCTTATAAACTTCATAGCTTTCAGTAGAATACATTAATTGCACAAGGAACAGTCTACAAAACTCATTTTATTCTCAGGGTTGAGCTTGATCATGCCTCACCTACTAACTGAGGAGACTGTCTTCTTGACTTTGTGAATAATGACAGACTTGAGCAATGACGATTGCCTCCAGGTAGAAGAGCTTCCAATCAGTTGACCTTTGTTGCACCTACCCCATAATTTTAGATTCAGGATTGATTAAATTTTCTGAAAAAGCCAGTCATCTCACCGCCATGAAGCATGAACTCTCCGGCAACCGGCAGAACTTTTCTAGTCAGAAGCCAGCACTGCTCAGCCCAGTCAAGGTCATCCAGACAGTTTTTGGTAAATTTGGTTGCAGGGTATCTTTCCTTATATCTAAAGATGAAAAAATTCCCCTAATCCCCAGAGATATTTTACTGTCCTTGCAAAGTTTATAGGAAAATAAAAACAACTCAAAGAGTTCAGCCCTTGAACAGTGTCCAGCAGCAGGGACGTTACAGCTAACACTCCAGGCCTCTCATTGCAGCGATGCTGCTGGCCATTCTGCGGGGCACACTTTTTGCAGCTTGACGGTAGTCCTCTGGTTTTGCCTTCAACAGAGTTACAATATTTTGCAGTGTTCTTGATGGCTGAAGGCCAAGGGCATCCATCACATTTATTAGATAATCTGTAAGATTAAGGACAAACATGTATTTGAACAGGTAAAAGACACTGTGCAAATGAAAGCTATCCTTCGTTCTTCACGACAGCTAGAATGCTGACACTGATAGCTCAAAACCACAGAAAACGGCAGGGTGTTTAGAATCTAACTGTACTGACTGATGCCTATTTTTGGCTTCCAGTACACTAGTTTAGACAACCATCTGTTTTGTTCAGAGCACTGAGACACATTCTGCCCCGTTTCAGTAGCTGCACACAACACCCTCGGGGTGGTCAGTCGCCGAGGTCACAGATGACACTGTGAAAGGCAAAGAGCTTGCAACAAAGCTGGGAAGGTCTGCAGAGGTGAATGGCTGTTGAGGCAGGAGGGAGTTCCAGCTCACTGATTCAAAGTCAGTTTGGGAATCAAGGATGGCAGGGAGGATGCCAAGCAACCAGCCTCTAATCCACTTTGTTTGTTTTTAAGCGATGCCCAAAAAAAAAAAGATTCAGGCTGAGTTCACTGGCATTCAAGCACACTTTCAGGTGAGCTGAGGAGGGGATGCTGTCTGCATCCTTATTTTTGAGCTTGGGCATGGGGAAGTCAACATCTGTGATTTACAGCAGGAAAAGGACTAACTGGCATTTACAATAGCTGTAGCGGTCTCTTGGTGACACTTTCAGCAGCTTCGGATAAGAAAAACCCATATCCTCCATATCCTGCAGAAACGCCCTCCCCAAAACCTTCCCTCAGTCCTCCCTCAGTCAGTCTGCATCACATGGGAGAAAGCAGAGATGAAGACATGTGCCATTTTATGTCCCATTTTGCTGTTGAAAACTTCTCTGTGTTGAAAGTAACTTTAGTCACCTAGCACCCTCAGAGCAGCAGGACAACTTGTCCATGGCAAGGGAGCTGATCCTATAGGTTTTGTAAAAAAAGGATGCTGGTCAAGTGTTCCCCTATTGCTTTTAGAAGGCCTTTAGCTGATCTGCCCTACTTCAGCTACCAAGTGAATGGAAGAAATCAACCAGCTGCCCCCTTTGTAATCCACTGCAGCACTTCCCAACAGGCTTGGCACATGCTGTGTACCCCTTACACAGCATATACTGGCAGTACATGGCACTCTGATGAGAAGGGCAAGAGC